ATGGGTATTCTTTATGAAATGAATGTCGATTTAACTGAAAAAAGAAGTTTTTGGCTTTGTGATGTTGATAATAAACTTACTTGAGCCATTTCAATATAATTTCCGTACTCAAATCTTTGCAAATCCAAATAAATTCATCAGAGCAGTTGTTTTATACAACAAATCCCAAAATTTTGAATCGTTTTAATCGGATCATGACACATTCGGTTGAGAGCCTGCAATTTCACGCATGTTTCTTTGTCCACCAGACTTTCGAAAACTAACCTGCTCACGGCGAGACGCAGTTTCCGGAAGTAAGACCTTCTCGACTTGTGTAAATTGAGCTCACTATCAGAGAAATTTATCATCTCTTTTTTTCTTGTTTTTTCGGTGATCCCTTGCATCGTTTTTACGTAATCCTTTAAGCTGAAAAGGGCAAAAATTATCTTACCTGCAGAGTTTTCTCTGAATTTAAAATCTTCAGAATATTCGTATTTTTGTCGGTTCATAGAATTACTGTCTTCTATAGAAGTCGTATATATAAATTGAACTTTGAATATTCAGCTGTCCCTAAAAAAAATCACCTAAAAATTTGCAAAAACTTGCACAACACATTAAAATATGTTCCAGAAAATATAGTTTAAATAATTGAGCGAAAAAAAGGCAAAAGTTGAGAGAAATACCCATTTTCTTGACGAAAAAAATTTAGGACAACAAAAAAAACAAAACAATTTATCCGCGGCAGCTGAGTCATTGATGGCGCATTTCTCGTGGCAACTTTGGTATCAGATCTAGTCCAGATCTACTTCCGAATTTCGAGTTATTCGATCTAATTCCGAATGAACTCAGATCTAATTCCGAATCGTTTACCTGAGCTGTCTTGAGCGCGCGCTCCCAAGTAGTCGATTTTGGCTCAATTTATCTCGGTTCCTGTAAGGGATATTAAAAAGTTGTCAACTGATAAAATGTTACTAATTTTATGATAAGGATTTTATTAGTTGATTACTTTTCGATATCTCTTTCAGGATTTGAGATACAGAACGTTGAAGGGAACACAGTCGAGCAGCCGCTTTAGCTTCTCTGTGCTCTTTCTTGACACCTGGCTTCCTAGCCATCAACTTTGACCCCATTCATCTTGGTTACTGTAAGAGATATCTAAAAACTGTCAACTGATCAAATATTACTCATTTTATGCTTAACATTTTCTCAGTTGACCATTCATAATATCTTTTACAAGAATCGAGGTAAATTTGCTCGAAGTGGTGAAAACTCATCTACACAGGTAAAATGCGAACGGATCCGTTACGGACACTCAGCGTTCGCGCGCGGTTGAAATAGGAACCGTATACGGACCGCACGCGACCCGTTTATCTACAACCACCCTCGTTTTTCAAAGATCCATTCTGAAGTGTTCTCTCTGACGCAATTAATTTTTTTCTGCAAAAGTAACAACGAAAATCTTGATTTTTGTCCTTTTCTGTCGGTGTCCAGAAATCCAAACTCTATTCAAAAAATCCTATTCCAATGACGAGGCAAGTTTTAATCTCTTTTTGTTTCTTTTGGCTCCGCCCATTGACTTTTTAATCCATTAAGTAATTTTTGAAGTATCCCATCCCTCTCCTACTTAAAATGATATGTTCAAGTGGATACTTCCTTTAGAATTTTTTTTTTTAACTTTCGAAAGTTGATGTCATTCTTGGAATGTTGAGGATGGTCAGAAAATAAGAATTATCCGGTAATCCTCACATCCGTTTTTAACTCGGAAAATCCAAAAAAATTATTTTAGGATTTCCCCATTTCGTCATTTTCTATCCGCTTCTCTTTTCTGATTTTTGTTTTGTTGCATTTTTTTGTTTTGCAAAAAATTCGTTTCCCGAAAAATGTCCCATCACATTTGTTCTATTTTTTGGTTTTAGCGGAGGACCACTTGCAAAAAAAACTTTTTGACTATTTAAAGAGTCCATCCCATAAATATGTAAAAACAAATCAGAAGGAAAGACGTAGGGAACAAAGATTTAGTTTGATTTTTCGAAATTGGTTTCTTCAAATTCCAGTTTCCTTTCTCGAAAAAAAATCATTTTTGAAAAAGAAAATCCAATTTTCTCTGGAAAGCCTTATATTTTCAGTTCTAATTTTTGTACTAGAAATAGGTCTTTTTCAGACTTCAGAAATAGTTCTTAGAGTTTTTTCATGACTCATTTTTGAGCATTTTTTCTAGTGTTTCTAGGTTTTCTGAAAAAAATTCTTTAAAAAATTCAAAAAGATTGATCTTAATACTTTCAATGAAGCAATTTAGAAATTAGCATTACAATACATTAACAATATTTTGGCTCTTTTTTGCATTCTAACTTTTTGAATACCGTAGAAACTGTAATAGAAGGGCTCCCACAATGTCAATTTTGAGTCAATTTATCTCGGAATTTATCTCGGTTCGTGTGAGAGATATCAAACATGTGGTAACTGATAAAATGTTTGTGCTATTATGGTAAACAATTTATCAGTTGATTATTTTTAGATATCTTTCACAGGAACCAAAAAAATTGGGTCAAAGTCGACGACTAGAGAAAGCGCGCTCAGGACAGAGAGCGCGAGACGCGGCTAAGCGACTGCGTCTCCTTCAGCGCAATGTATTTCGGTATCCGTAAATGATATCAAAATGTGGTTAACTAACAAAAGGTCTATCGTAAAATCAATAATGTTTCATCAATTGATCACTTTTTGATATCTTTCACAGGAGTCGAGATAAATTGACTTGGAGTTGGTGGTTAGGAAACTTCCTTGGATTTGGAATTATTTTGTTAAAATATTTAAATTATCTTGTTAAAAGTTAGGGATCCCTTCCCATACAAGTTTTACGGTATTCTATTTTTTCAAATTTTGGTTTTCTTCGTTTTTCAAATCCTGGGTTTCAGAGATTTTGGCTTTTTTCGAAATTCCAAAACTTTCAAAAGCAAGTTTTTCTTTCTGATTTTTGAAGTTTTATTTTTTTAAACACTGAGTTTTTTTCAAAAATAGATTCATAACCTTCCAGGTTTTCTATGTACCCTAACCTTCTTCCATTTTTGTGACATCAGAACTTTTTTAGTTCTAAATACCAAAAAAAAACATTTGGTAGACTTCCGGAATTTTCTGGAGAGCACCAATGTGTGGTTTTCGGAAATCAGCACTTGTTGAATGAGAGGATAATTGTAGTGGAACAGAACGAGAACTTTTTTGAGAGGGAATTTTTCGGAGCGTATATTTATTTTCCCGGATTTTTGAGTTTAGGACCTTCTGAAAGTTTCAGTTTTCTAGTCAAAAAGTTTTTCAGCTTTCAAAAATTTCGGTTTTTTGAGTTTGAGATTTTTGGAATCAAATTTCAAATTATGTTGTCTATCTAGATTTATTGCACTTTTTTGGCTGTCCACTTCTTTCTGAAATTTTCTAGACAACTACATCTTGACACGCCATTTTCGTTTTCCTCGGAGTTTTTCTGTTGCTTCACAAGAATTCTCCTCTTTTGCCCCGAGAGAAATAGAAGAACTTCGGATTTCTAATCCAATTTTTTTCAATTCTTATAAAATTATATCATTCAAAAAAGCGTGATTTATATGTTTTTGGGGTTCTGGGAAATTAGTTTCTGCCCACATTTTAGAAGTTCAGTAACCTATAAATTGGTGTTTTTAATTAAAGTTTTGAGATTTTACAATTCTGAAACTCTGAAAATTCCGAAATTCTGAAATTCTGAAACTCTGAAAATTACGAAATTCTGAAATTCTGAAATTCTGAAATTCTGAAATTCTGAAATTCTGAATTTCTGGAGTTTCGAGATTCTGGGGTTCCAAGAAAAATCCGAGAAAATAAAAAAAATCTGAAAAAATCAGAATTTTTGAAAATCTCGAAAATTGAAATAGTCTTGAATGCTTGAAAGAAGAATCTAAGAATCTCAAAAAACCGAAAATGTATTTTTAAAGTTTTGAAATTCAATTTTCTAATTTTTTTTCAGATTTTTTCAAAATTAATTTTTTTTCTGTAATTTTCTGAAATTGTTATTTTTCTAGACTCTTCTTGTGTTTTGCTCTTTCCCCCTCAACATTTTTTTCTACATTACTCATTTTTTCCTTTTTTTTCTCCTTTACCCAAAATCCCAAGACCACCTGCCATCTCCATTTTCCTTCCTTGAAATGAGGCTCTGAAAAGCAGAAAATCTCCATAAAATCCACTTTTTTTGTTTTTCAAATCCTGATTTTTCCATTCCGGCTTTCTCCAATTATCCCCTACAATTTTAGGGATTTAGAAAGTGAAAATTTCCATAAAACCCCAGTTTTACGACTTTTTCTTCCCTGGAATTCTCTAAATTCCTATTCCAAACTTGATTGAGAAAACGTCATTGTTTGCTCTTCCGTAAGCTCCGCCCACTTTTCCTCACATCTTCTTTTGTCGTCGTCGTGCAGAATCCTCGCTCCAGAATAGTTTTCATTAAGTTTTGAGATGTTTTGTTTTTGAAAGAAAAAGAAGAAGAAGATGAAGACGTCAATTTTAGATTCTGAGAAATTCGTGAGAATCCAGAATCCAGAACCCAGAATTCTTAGATTCTTAGATTCTTAGATTCCTGGGTCCCGGATCATGTATTCTGGATTCTGGATTCTAGATATTTCCTTGGATTCCTGAATTTTCGAAGATTCCAGAATCTCTTCTGAAATCTCGGAATCTGATTTCAGATCCCAAAATTCGAAACAGCTGAAAAAATATTCCTGATCACTCACCCTCCCATTTTTTCTACGTAATTCCCTGGTGTACGTAACAGATCTGATCTCAAAAAGAAAATTTTACTTCTCATTTTTTATATTTTTTTGTGTCAGTCATTCATTCTTGCAAATTAAAACACATTCTGACCCATCTTGTTTACCTATGTTTTTTTTGTGATTCTGCTTTCATATGACCTTTTCTCTTGACGTCTTCTGAGTCAGATTCTGAATTTTCCACATCTACATTTTTGAGTTTTCCAGGTAAAAACAAAAACGCACGTGGGCCTCGGGAATATGTGGTACATCGCTCTCTTGTTGGCCGTCGCCGCCACTTCAGCAGCACAAAAAGGTTGGTCCGGATGTCCAATGTGTCTGAGTACCTTACCCCGAAAATTCCCACCTTTCAAAGTTACTGATTTTTGGACTTCGGAAGTCTACAAGCTACAGTATCCCGGAAAAAAGATGTCGAATTTCGACATTTTCATTGAAAATTAGTCAACTTCGGAATCCTACAAAAGATCTTCACAATTTTTCGATTTGTCTGGAAATTCAAGAGTATATTTAACAGAACAAGAGCTTAAATTTTGTAATTGACAACTTTATAGCAGCTTTTTTAGTTTTTGAGATATCAGCATTTAAAGTGAGAGCGCGCTCACACACCTCCTTCTCGACCCAAAGCGCGCTCTCACTTTAAAGGCGCATATCTTAAAAACTAACAAGGCTACAAAAAAGTAGTCAAATACAAAAATGAAGTCACCAAAGTTGACTATCTTTCAGTTCAAAAGAAAATATGCGGTATCTTTTTGTTCGGAGTACTGTAGCTTGTGAAGTTTGGACATTGGGAAGGTGGTCAAATTTGATGGTCTAGAAAACTAAAAAACGAGAGTTTTCAAAACTCAAAAATGTCTATTCTCAACCGAGATATGGCGTTTTATAACAAATGGTCTAGAGTTGTATAATGCTAGGCCATCAACTTGAAATGGTTATAACTCGGCTCAAAATGTATATTTTTCTGATTTGAAACCTGAAATTGATAATTACGATCCTGGTTCATTAAGTCTAATTAGCGATTTTCAAATTAAAATTTTTTCAGCCGACGACGAGCAGGTAGTATTTCTGGTACGCGTTCCAATGGAATCAATTGAGGATGACTCGAGTTTGGAGTATCATCCTAGAGGTTAGTTGCCAGCAGATCACTTGAACCGGAAATTGAACAGGAAATGAAATGGAAACTTCTAGAAGAGTTCTTTTTTAGTTTGGTCTCCCTGCTTTTTTGTGATAGTTAGCATGGTGGGCGAGTCAGAGATCGGGTTGCAAAAGTTTGGAAGTAGAGAGTGCATTTTTGCGTGGTAGTGTTTGCAGGAACGTTTACAATATGTAGTAGTTTCTGAAAACACCATCACATCAAGTTGCAGACAAGCAATCTACCGCATTTTCTCTAATAGGAGCCCACCCTAAATTTCAACTTTGAGCTCAATTATCTCGGTTCCTATGAAAGATATTAAAAATCTGTCAACTGATAAAGTATTGGTGATATTATGATAAGCAATTTATCAGTTGACAACTTTTTCATATCTTTTACATGAACCTAGATAAATTGTGTTAAAGTTGAGAGTGTGGGGGCTACAGTAAAACCCGCTACGTTGTAATAAACATTTCATCAGTTGACAGACTTTCGATATCTCTCACAGGAATCAAGACAATTGAGCTTAAAGTGCACTTATAGGGCGGTCTTCTATTAAGGCAAACACAGTAGATTTCTTATGAATCTTGAAGCTTCAAATTTTGAAATTTTGGATCTGTAAAGCAAATTTTCAGACATTTTCAACACAAAACGAGCGATCCCATTCAACGGAGGCATGTACGGCAAACGATCGACGATGCCGTTCTCCGGTGGAATGTACGGAAAACGATCTGGACAAATTTTTGCTCAACGTAGAGCCGCTATCCCATTCTCAGGAGGTAGGATCTTAAATTTTTAGGTTTTTGAATTCTTGGGGCCTTGGGGTGTAGGAGTCCTGGATTCTCAGATCCTTAGATCC